CATTATGAAAAAAATATTTATTCTATAGGGGTGTTTTTGTTTACTTTTTATTAAAATCGTAATTTTCGTATTTAGCGCTATAATGTTCAAATATAACTAACGGTTTCCCGCGACTTCGCCCGCGTATAATTTAGGGTTTTAATTATGCTGCACGGAACCCTAATTCTTTTTCTAAAATATAAGTAGCCTAAGTTACTCCTTATAATGTCAGCTGTCTGCCAGTGAAAGTCCCGTCAAAATCGGTCCAGCCGTTTCTGAAATTAGCCGGAACAAACAAACAGACAGACAGACAGACAAAAATTTTAAAGATTATGTTTTTGTTATAACTACCGTATATACTTTCATATGCATTTAGTAAAAAGCTGCTATTTTGACATTGCAAACAGACACTTCAATTTTATTTATTTGTATAGATAATGCATTAGGGTATTTTGAATTTAAAAGATAAAAAGACAGAATGTATGAGATTTTTTTTAATTAGTTTTTCTTCACCATTTGCTTATATTACTTATTCTGAACCTTCTCTGCTAATTTGGCCGGTTAGTGCAAAATAATCCAGTATATCCTCGTGCCGTTGATTACTTTAGGACGTATATATCCAACTATTTGATCAGCACATACTAATAAAGCAGCCAAGCAGCTCTTTCTCTACCGAATTAATTACAAATATTTAGAGTTCGAATTAAAATCGTGATTTTATCATAATAAAGTATAGCCTTTGTTACTTCGGGTTAATGTACCCTTTAAATAATTTTGAGAATTAGTTGGTAGTGCCAGAGATTACCCCCCTACGTGTAAACAAATGTTTGCTCTTTATAACATCAAGTATAGATTACCCCTTATCAAGTATTTGCTGGTTGGTAATTTCATATCTTGTGATTATTATTGATTATATAATAAAGAAGCAACAGTAACCTATTGGTTAAGATTACGGGCGTCGACACTCAAAAGTTGTAAATTCGGTTCGCTATCTGACTATACTATCTTGAACCACGTTTAGTACAAAATGGATTATAAGTAGTTTGTAAGTATTTCATAGCATTCTTTTAAAAAAAGTTCAGGTAGTTTCTCCTTTTGTTCCTCGAATCTGTCAAGGTATAAATGTATTTTATGTAGAATTATGTTAACTAGTAATTCGTATATACCGTAACTAGGGATCATATTATGCCATTTGCGTGATTATATTAATCTAAGTTTTTTTATAATACTATAATGGTTAAAAAAAAAACTAAAATGATTAAAATAATTTCATATTCCGAACTCAATATTGTCTAAACAGTAGTTACATTAGAAACTTCATCCCTGAATTTTTCACCCTTATGGGTGAATTTTTTTTCTTCAAAACTTCATTTTTATCGGATCATCCTCGAAGTATTACTTTGTTTAATAAAAAAAGAATATTCAAATCAGTTTAGAATTGGCAATTATATCATACAAAAATATAATACATATTATGCCAAGCGTTATGCCTATTTAGGATTTAGTTGACACTTGTGTATTTATTTACATACACATAAAAATTGTGTGTATATGAAAATCTTTATGTAAGTATATCGACGCTTAAAAGGCAATAATTACCAAACGACATTTTGGGCGATATTGAGTTATATATGTATGTTACTGTAAAAGCTCGAACTACGATAAACCCTAAGATTTTCCAGTAAAACCTAGGATTTACCAAGTCTTAATGATAAAAGTTCGAAATGTTCTGTGGTAATCGTTAATTTCGGACTTTTACTACCATTAACTTAGTAAATCGTATAGGTTTTACCTCAAACACATGTCTAGAAGTGTTTGGCGCATTATCGTGCTCGCGGATAATCTGCAGTGTTACCTCTCTCCGCTCGACACAGTCGATCGCTTAGTACGTACCTATATACGTTTTTGTTGTCTAGAAGTATTTAAGAGACATAATTTAAAATTAAAAAATTTGTACGGCCGACTTCAATATAAGTTATTAAGAATAACTCAAAAACTATTGGTCTGACCTCCTCTGATTCATATGGGACCACACGAGCTTTCAAATAAAAAAGAATTATCGAAATCGGTTCACCCAGTAAAAGGTTATGAGGTTTTTCTTTTAAATTCTTTATTAATGAGCTTAATCACAATGTGAATATGTCGCTCCGTTAGTTCAACACCAAAAACAAATACCTTAAGAATACTTAAACTTAATTACATTATACATGTCTTAAATCCTTAATTAATTACAATAAGTAGAAGAAGTTATGCATTTAGTTACAATTAAAATTCCCAGATCAATCACAGTGAGGAAAGTGTGATTGATCTGAGAACTTCAACTTGTAAAGTTTGATTAGTAATTTTATGTCGTCAGAATGTGGCTTAGCTAAAATTATATTACAATCAGCGAAGTCTTTTACGATGTGATGGCACTTATCAATACGAAAGGCAGCATTGTGGGCACACTCCATCAAGACATGCATTAGGTCCTCGGGAACACCACATTGATCACAGTTGGGTGACTGGACCTTTTTCATGAGAATATTAAGAATAACTCAAAAACTATTGGTCTGACCTTGATCAAATTCATATGGGACCACACGAGAAGTACCAGCTTTCAAATAAAAAAGAATTATCGAAATCGGTTCACCCAGTAAAAGGTTTTGAGGTAACACACATAAAAAAAATATAGCCGAATTGAGTACCGTCTCCTTTTTGAACCAAACGACTGAAATTTAACTGATTTATAAATAATTTTTACTTGGTAGGTATTCGCTTTTAAATTTATACATTTAGTAATTTTTGCCTTGACTCAAATTAATGCTGTTAAACATAGTGTTTTTTTCCTTACGGTATCTAGGGTATAAGCACTACTTAAGAAATTTTACCGGATTAATTTTTTTTCCCAACATTTATGACTTTAACACACCTTAATTATGTACTGATTTTTATTTAATTTTTTTTTTCTAAATGCATGGACTTAAAGACGTAACAATAATGTAGTAGTATTTTTCCCGCTTAAAAAGGATATATTATTATTATGTCGTTTGGTAATATTTTACCTTCCCTTTTTTTACTGTTTTTCTTACTTAGGTAACTATTTCTGATATGAAATTTGTATAAAAATGGGCTTACCCCTGTAGCGTGTATTTTGTTTTTTCGCTTATACGCATTGTAAAGCAGATTTTGAGTGGCTGTTGGTAATAAAATATCGATTAGTGTTCACCCAACTGTCGCATAGGCAACCTAAATTGCCATATATACCTAATAAGTAGTAACTAAAGCTATAAATTGTTAGGTCTTGATCTTAATTGTGTTGTTTAATTGATAACTTACCAAAATACATATATTCACTCATTTTGTTTAGATTGTGAAACATTTTTGTAATTTTCTGCCTCTCTTCACAGCCATTTTCTTCTTAGTTGAAATTGTGTTTTATCCACCTATACTGATTTTATAATTACTTATTTTAATAATAGTATTAGTATAAAAGTAATTATTTTAGTTTATTTTTACAAACAGTTGATTTAAGCTATCTTAAATATTCCACGACAGCCTACATTCTTTATAAGATCGGCTATCCACTTAGCGAGAGATTTGTCTGCAATATTCGTATGTTACAGGTATATATAGACGTCATGAACTCATGAACAAAGGGTTAGTCACTGGCCTAAAACCTCCATTAACCCGCACGAGAGGAGCGTGGTGGATTATGCTTTAATTCATCCCTCATCACATGGAGGCCCATACTCAGGAGTGCGTGAATGTAGATTAATACAAGGGCTGTAATTTATCGACTGGAGTAGTTATGACTAATAGGCGTTTTTTTACGAATTAGTATCAAAAAAAAACTAAAATGCTCTAGTGTAAAGTTGCCAATATGTCGCTTGGTAATTATTGCCTTCCAAGCGTCGATATGAATTCAGGTACAAAAGGGCTACCTTACGCTCCGCCTCAATAAATAAAAAACTATTTACGCAATGATGTCTTTATGATGTTCTCTGACAAGTTTGAGCCGCTATAAAAAATGTTGTTCTCTCCATTTTCCTTATCTAATCTACGAGTAAGACGATGTTGCCCAACATTTTGTAACCAACCCTACGGCTGATATTCTTGATTCTTCAATTAAATTTAAATTGGCGCTCGCCATGTCGCTAGAAAACGTGTAAGGTCGGTATAGTGATATTAGTATATAATGCATAATTTCCAACCTATCTGACTAAGCTGGAATTTTCAACGACGGCTTTTCCACGGGTTTCCATATATCATACCAATTATCGTCGAATATTCAAATTTCAAATATCGAACTAAAAAAAAATCGATTTTACTAGTTAAATTTAATGCAGCTAATGACAAATTAAAAAAATAATATTACTGTAGCTTGTTATTTGAAATGTGAAATTTTAATTGTGTTTAGTTTGTTCGTATAAATATAACTTTATGTTTAATGAATAACAAATAATGTATACACTTTTTAAATGTATATTGATCAGGATTGTACAATTGTAATGCGATCAATGTAAAGAATAATGTAAGGTTGATGGCACGGGATACAAATTATAAAAACAATTTTTTTTGGAATAATACAGGAGCTGTGGTAGTTCAGTAGATATATTATGTACCCGCCTTAAAGTATCGTAGTACGCGAGAATGGAGTTTAATTTGGTTGTTAACTGGAGTTATAAGTGCTAGTTTACCGCATGCACAGTGGTAAAGAAAAAAAAACATAGAGAAGAAAACTGCATAACTAGGAAATTAATAACATTTAGGGTACTAAAGTAAAATAAAACAGAGTAAGATGGTTTCGATTCAGAAAGAACCTCTGTCCCAAGCCAAGTGAAACCCAGCCGGATGTTTTTATAAATTCTAATATAGGTATTATGTTGTACTATTAAATTGGTGCAGTGGTTGCAATGGGTGGTACAGTGTGAGGCCTCTACTCTAGCAGTAGGTTTTAATTGAGACTGTTCCAACTGATGTTCCGACTGTAACGTTGATCTCTAATTATCCTTATTGATGAATTATGTCTAATTTTCCAGAAACAAGTGTCATAACGAAAAAAAACGGCGCGAGTTGGAAAACGAGACCATAAATCAGCTCGAAGAGCTTTTGGGGACTTGTCTAGCTGAAGTAAAACAGCCAGACAAAAACGGCATCGTTCGAGAGGCCACTCGTCAAATCCAGGAGGTTCTGAAACGGCGGCGCGACTGTCCCGGCGAATGTCCCCTGCGTTTAGTTCAATGCCTCTCGCCGGTACAGGCCGGGGAAGTCAGCTCCACACAACCACAGCCACCGCCCGCTGGTTTCCAGTATTCTGAGCTCACTACACTCATTGAGGTTTGTTTAATATTACAATAAAGAATTGTGGAATTATGTATTTTAAAAGTGAGATATAAATTTATTTATGATAATGTTTGTAAAATATAATAACTATTTCTTTTCAGGCCCTCAAACATTATACAAGTAGTCTGGGCTGGGTTTTGTTGGAAATTAATTCCAAAGGTGAAATTGAGTGTGTAACAGAAAATATAAAAGATCTCATTCTTGTCGATAGAACTGAGCTGTACAAGAAATCGATCTTTTCATTTTTGCATACCGGTGACCACGCAAAATTAAAACCTATAATAAGGAACGCGCAGGCGTTTTCCTGGAGCTCAGGGGATATCGATAAGTTTCAAGCCATACAAGTTCGTCTGCTTATCAAGAATCCCAATGGTAGTGACGGTGCTGGGTGGGTATTTTTTATTTATTATTGACACATAATAATATTAAGAAAACACCTTAAATTATCCTTATGAATAATCAATCACTATAGGAGTATGATTAATTCCTCCAACTCACCTTAAATTTCCAGTCGATCCAATAGATTATTAAAAATCAGTCCATTTGCTTTTGATAAAAAAAATACCCCTTTCTTTAGCTTACCGGTCAGAATTTAAAAATTAATTTTTTGGATGAAATTATTATTACACAAAATTTATTTCATTAGCCAAAAAATATTTCTCATATTATGGTTTTAACGTTGCATGAAATGAATATAAACCTCAGTATAAATATCTATTTTTATAGTAATGCCAGCAAGATGAGATGAAGCTTGTAAAATAGAGGTGCATTGATATGTGTCCATATATGATGTCAAAAAACGAGAATTTATATTTGAAACTACCGAACCGCCCCGGCTTCGCACGGGTGATTTCTGAGCAGAAAAATTTCTGCTAAAAAATCTATGTTTCTGGGTCTCGACAACAGCGCCATCTACTGGATCCAATTATGAATCGTTTAGATCTTTTAGGGGGGTCCCTAAAACACAACAAAAGACTTCATGAAAATTGGTACAGCCATTTTCGAGACTAACGGACAGCGATTGATTTTTATTTAAAGATATAATAATATATTTAATAGTTAATAGCACAATAATTGATGTATTTTTTAATTTAATGTATATTGTCACATTTAAAATATAACGAAAAAATGAATAAACAAACACCTATATTAAAACAACGATAATAATTTATATTGCTGTTTTCTTAACTTTTTCAAAATTTTGAAGATTTGAAATAATTAATCTATTTTAGATATCGTTTTTTCCCATGTTTATTTCTTTTTATTCCATAACTATGTGAAGTGCTATAGTAAAAACTAAAAATAAAGTAATAGTAATTGGTGTAATTGCGATGGTGTCCATGTTGCAATGGGCAGGCTGGATGCTGTGATCCACGCTGCGCCGGTACGCGGCTCGTCCCCGGAGGAGGCCGGCTCCGTCATGTGCGTCATCCGGCGCTGCGAGGACGCGTCGGCCGCACTTCTTCCAGTCGACGGCGGCCCGCCCGCCATCACTTCCAAACACTCTGAAAACATTGTCTTCAGATTAGACTGCAACTATACTATTTTATGTACGTTTTGACTTTTCCTTTAGTTTATTCTACTGCAAAAACGACTAAAATACGACTATTTATTTTGTTTTACAATTTCAGCTTGCGATTTAAGTGGAGTGGAAAACCGTTTAAACTCCCCCTTGTCTCTTGTGGGAACTTGTTATTTGGAACTTGTTGAAAACTGTGATCGTATTCGCGTAGCTGCGCATTTGCAAGAAGCCGTGTGTCGTCCTGGCCCACCAGTAGTGAGCGAGCCTTTTAGATTACGTATCGCGGCAAATAAGCTTTGGTTTAGAGTCAGTGCTCAATCGCGTCTATTTAAGGCAAAGCCGACTTCTGGGGAACCCGATTTTATTATGTCGACGCATACGATTCTCGGCGACGACGAAGTCGACCTTCTAGAAGTTACTGGAACGCGACCGACCGTCGGTGGCCCTTTGATGACATCCGTGGCGAACGGAGAATCTTCTGGCTGCGAAACCCGGTATCGCTCTTCTATTAGTCCCACCGAAGCGCAGTTTTCTATCAACGATTTCGACCTCGAACCCTGGGCGCCGAATTTTCAAATGGGAGAAATGTCCAGCGAAGACTCGAAAGAGCACAAAGAGGGAACGAGTGAAGATCCAGGTACTCCATTGACATCACGTGCACCTTCGGCATCCAACGAGGGGTCACATTCTTCAGCACCGGCCGAGGAGCCCAATCGTCTGCGCTCGTTACTTAGTAAAAAAACAGTCAGCGTATCCGACGCCGTGGCAAATTCGAACAATCGTATCTTGAAGGACCTGCTAAATCAAGACGACGAGGAAGCGACGAGCAGTGAGACGTCGGCCCCGCACACGCCGCACACGCCACACACGCCGCACACGCCGCACACCCCGCACACGCCGGGCGCCGCGCTGTCGCCGCTGCACACGGCGCAGGCGCACGCGCGCCCGCCGCCGCTGCAGGCGCACGCCACGCACGCGCCGCACGCGCAGCTCGCGTCGCACGCTCAGCACGCCCAGCACGCGCCGCACGCTCCGCACGCTCCACACCAACCACACCAGACTACTCACAACATGCAGCAAACGCATCATAATAATTCGGAGGTATTACTAAGGGTAGGTATTTTGTACCAAAATTTTACTTTACAATTTAATTACATTTTTTTTGTGTTAATATCGTTATGATGATGATCATCATCAACTTTTAGAAAAAGTCCACTGCTGGATAATGGCCTGGCCTATCCAAGAAGCTTTTATGCATTTCTTGGCTGCGGTGTCCACAGCGGAGCGGATTTGACTGGAGCGAAGTCAATCCGACTTTCCGTGACACTATTTTTCATCGCCAGTCTATGAAATTTGGGTCCAATACTAAGTTTTGGATGGATTCTTACATGTATGCTGAGTATTTAATTTTTTTAGCAATAAATCTGTTTTCATTACATTTTTGACTGCACTAAGTAATCGGTTTCAATTTGTTGTATATTCTAGATATTAAACGAAAAATCAGATGAAGATAATGAAGAAAACAGAAGAAATGCCTCCGATAGCACTCGCGGTACTTCACAACCAAGTGCATTGCTCTCTCAGCTGCTTTCTCCCAGCAATGGGCCCTCCGGCAATGGCCGCTCTCAGGATGCCAGTGATAACTACCTCGAAAGAATTGGTATAAAGCGAAAGTATGAGGAAAGTAAGACGCCTAATACTAATGCGAAAAGAGCTACACCTGAAAATCAACAGGTATTTAACTTGATTTGTATATGTTGCCATACTACAGTTTTCATAATCAACATCAAATAATGTTAATAAATTTCACTTGCATTAGGTCACGTCTAGTGCCGTGTCAGTAGCATCTTCGGCTCCTTCGTCGACAGCTGCTAGTCCCGCCACTAGTAGTAGTAATATGCGTCCACTCCGCCAGAAGAATCAAATACTAGTAGCACTTCTAGAGCAAGCCACGCCCTTTCCTACACCAAACCTTCGAGGCTATGAACCGGTGCCTCGCCCCAGGTTACCGCAGATACCGCAGCATCATCATTCCACATTATCAAATATGCTCACACCACAGTAAGTAAAGCAGAAGTTAAAAACGTCTTTTTAAATATTCTACTTTAATAGGACTACAAGACCCAAGTGACCTCGAATGATGCACGCACACATTTACAGAATCAATGTGAGCGCCATCTAACGACATTGAGGTTTAACAAACGGATTAGAGAGGTCACGCCCGAGTGTTATAATAGACGAAACGCAAGTAAGATACTAAGAAAGAAATAGATGGACAACGAAATTATTTTTAATTTTAATTTAATGTTACTTGAAAATTTAAGGATATGGGTGATTTTGAAATGAAACTGATTCGATGAAACTTAAAACATTTTTATTTATATAATAATAGTAATAAACTTTATTTATATAAAAGTGATTGTACGAGTATTACATGGGTAGGACATTACATCGTTTGTACTATCTATAAAATATTATATTCAATCTAGTGGATGTAGCTCTGCTCTCCTAGCTCGGTTACAGAATAACCTGTGTTAAGCTGAACGCACATTTGTCCGCGCCGCACGCGCCGTACGCGCCGAGTTTTACTGATGGTCTCCCACATTTGCCCGTACGCATCATCCGCGCCATACGCAGATCTTTTGTATTACCAACAACTTTTGTAGCTTTTTCCAACCACTGGTGTGAAACGGTACAGTTTGATCGCTCGAAATCACTATGGAAAGCAATTTAGTAATAGCCTGCTTATTGGCAGAGGAAGAAAAAAATAAAATTCGAAAAAAAAAGAAGATTCTGGATTCATAATATTAATTTAAAAAGGCAATTGTATTTAGAATATAAAGGGGATATACTTTATTTAAAGACTTATTAGATGATTATGAACGATTTTTTTTAGATATTTGCATTCAACATATAAGACATTTCAAGAAATGCTACATATACTAAAACCATATCTTTCTATGGAAAACTCAATTTAGAAAGCCATCATCATCATCATTACAGCCCTTCACAAGTCCACTGCTGAACATAGGCCTCCCCCAAAGAATGCCACAAAGCACGGTCCTGAGCCACCTGCATCCATCGACCTCCCGCATGTCTTACCAGGTCGTCACTCCATCTCGTGGGGGGACGCCCTACACTTCGCCTACCGGTACGAGGCTGCCACTCGAGAACCTTTCTTCCCCATCGGTTGTCGGTTCTTCGAGCTATATGGCCGGCCCACTGCCACTTCAGCTTACTAATCCGTTGGGCTATGTCGGTTACTCTGGTTCTACTGCGGATATCCTCATTCCTAAGTTTATCACGCAGAGAAACTCCGAGCATAGCCCTCTCCATAGCTCGCTGAGCGACCTTGAGCTTCCTCATACGGCCAGCAGTGAAGGACCACGTCTCAGTTCCGTAAGTCACCACTGGCAACACGCACTGGTTGTACAATTTCGTTTTTAGGTTTTGAGGTATGTTTGACGAGAAGATGTGTCGTAGCTTCCCGAACGCTGCCCAGCCGAGTTGAATCCGTCGATTGACCTCTCGGTCGAAGTTGGACTTACCTAGTCGGACTATTTGTCCCAGGTATACATACTCGTCAACAACTTCGAGCTTAGTGCTCCCAACAACTACCGGCATAGGTGTGACATGGACATTGAACATGATCTTTGTTTTGTCCATGTTCATCTTAAGACCTATCCGTTGGGAAACACTATCGAGGTCATTGAGCATAGTGCTTAGAAAGCCAATTGAACCAGAAAAAAGACTTGTTGTATGATAGATATTTTTATTGATAATGAAGTAATCAGGTATAATTCGGTTTTTGAATTGAATTTAACTATTTTTTTGTTAGTTCAGTATTTAAATAATTTATCGCTAAGAATACATATTGATAATCGATGCAAAAAAAAAATCAAATTATGTATTATTAATTACGAATGAATTAAAAGTTATAAAAATACAAAAATTATCATGTAAGTCGAAACCACCAGTTATAGTGGAAAATCCACTAGGTTGGCAACATTAGAAAACACTGAATATCAGCACACGCAAATGCGCCGCGTTATATGACGTCATCAGCATTCGTCCTTCGATATCGTATACCTACCACATTTTATAAAATTCGGCGCGTACTGTAATGTATGTGCGAGGTTTCATATGATTTCATACAACGAATTCTAAAATTCGGCGCGTACGGCGCGTGCGGCGCGGACAAATGTGCGTTCAGTTTTAAGGAGTAACAGTCTCAATCCCCGTAGTAGTAGGTGTATAATAAGTACACTCTTACAGTTGTAAGTTCTACAATAATAACAAAATCTAGTTTTCTAATTATTAAATATATAATTGAGAAATACATGCATATGTATGTGTGTCTGTATGTGTGTGTGTGTGTGTGTGCGTGTGTGTGCGTGCGTGCGTGCGTGCGTGCGTGCGTGCGTGTGTATGTTTGCGTGCACGTGTGTGTTTGTGAGAGAGAAAGAGACCCAGGAAATAAAATAATATTTTAATAAATGATAAGTGAACTTGTGGAAAAGAACAAATTTTGTCTTTTCGGCGTTTACTTATTTCCGTGTACAACAATGGTCGTTGGTGCTTTTCACCGATGAGTCCGGGTTTGAGTTTCATCCGGATTCACGAAATGGAATCTATGAAAAAAATTGAATATCTCAAATTATGTAGATATGTCAATTCTAAATATTCTAGTTCTATGGTTCATAAGATAGGTAATAAAAATTTGCATTTCGTTTATTTTTTGTATTTGCCTTTGAAACATTTTTAAGCTACAAGTAAAATACCTAACATTCATACATAATTATAATTCCTAATTATAAACAAAACCAATAAACCTAAACTCTTACATGTGATAAGTAACATCGCAATTTTCAGATGATTCTGTTATTTTGTCGTGCCTATTTGTTATTAATGAAAAAGCCGCGGTCTTTTAACAAGTTTTTAGTTGTTTTTTATGGTTATTATAGCTTAGTAAAGTTGTTGGTACTAACACATTGGAAATACTAATTTCCGTTACGTAGTACTATTATTTATTCTGTGCTCTGTGTTGATATTTTATACTTTCTTTCTCTTTAAAATAAAAAATAAAATTTGACTTCATATTCCTAGAATCGAACCCAGGTACTCAGGTATACACTACATTTTCAAATCATTAAGTTTATTGTTATAAAAATAAATATTATTTAAATGTTCTAATAAAATGTTCTTACCTTTTAATATCTTTCATATGTTGGGCGTTTGAGTTATATGAACATTTTTAGTCTTCGTAACGGGTTTTACTTTATTACCTATATTTATCAATTATAATTATTAACTGAATTTAAATTAATCTAAGCTTAAAATATTTAAGATAAGAGGAAGTCGATGGATGCAGGTGGCTCAGGACCGTGTTTTGTGGCATTCTTTGGGGGAGTCCTATGTTCAGCAGTGGACTTGTGAAGGGCTGTAATGATGATGATGATGATGAAGCTTAAAATATTTTATATTTACACGAAAGAAGAATATTTATGAAACAATGAATTTAAAAATAAAATTATGCAAAAACATTAAACAATTTTTACGTAAATAATGCGGCAAAAAGAGCGACACGTCTGTGTAGCATCGGTCCTAGCAGTGTCTGTAGTCTGTACACAGGCGTTTACGCCAGTGTTGCCAGACGTTTTGAATGAACGGTCGTATGATAGGTAAATAAAAAGTCGTATTCCTTAAGGTCATTAAATAAAAATAGTACGTTTTTTTATACTTTGTTTTATTAAATTATACAAAACTTGAGGATTAAAAACACAAAGTTATTAGTCTTTATCTCCATATAAAATCTTACTGTTCATATTATTTAACATTTTTCTTGATGGAGAAAAATCAACACAACAACCAAAACGTTTTATATGTTGTTTGGCTAATAGTGTGCCGTTCACAGTCTCAATACTGAGCCTACTTCGGATTTTCTTTTTGATGAGATTTACTGAACTGAAGCACCGTTCACAATCCGCATTAGAGTGAGGAAGGCATAGGAAATCGAGATCAAATTTTGCTATATTCTGAAAGTCATCTAACGCACACATTTCTGCCCCAAGATTCGTCTGGCGGAAGAGTTATATCAACTTACTAAAGAGCTTGGGTAATCTTCTCCACTCATCGTCCACATTTTGCATTATTTCTTCACTTACAATCCGAGGCACAATTTTCATTAGAGTGAACAAAGTATTTACTTTGTTTCTGTATGATTCTGATAAAACATTGGTAGAAAATGTGAAAATTCGTATGAATTGCGTATGATTTTTGAGTCTCGATCGTAAATGCATATAACTCTTAAAAAAGCGTATGAATACGATTTAAATCGTACATCTGGCAACACTGGTTTTGCGCACACATCCGTACTTATTATTTCAGAAATAAGAAAATGCGATTTTTAAAAAATATCTATTAATTTGTTTAAAAATTAAAACACTATTGCGTTAATATGTTGCTTGTAGAATAATCTGACAAAAAATCAAATTGATTGCATCTATATTAGTATGGTTTTTACTCGTTAAAAGAAATTTTTAGAGGTTCCTTTATGATTTTTTTCTATTGTATCAAATTAGTAGTATCACGTTTTCAACACACTAGTTAGTGTGTTGAAGTGCATATAGTGCATATAGTGCATATATACTAAAAATATGATATATTTTTCTGATTTAGTTTACTACATTGGATCATATACTTTAAGGCAATATAAAACTTGCTTTAGCTCCTGTAATTATTTCGATATTAACAATTGTTATTAATATTAATTTCACAAGTAAAGTTTAATTACCAAACCTCAAAACGAGTAGATTAAGCTTACTTTTATTTATATTTTTATGGTGGATTCATCAAACATGCAACAAGATCTGATTATAGTGACATTTTTAATAATAGATTTAAAAACAACCTATTATATGCTTTAAAGTCAGCAATTAAAATATCAATTAACCATTTCATTTTGGCTAGGATCAAGCTGGGATTGCTCATAGATAATGAAGCGCAGGATTTAACCCTTATCTGAGCGAGATTAGAATGGCTTTTAGAAAGCCCTTCAGAATTTATTTAATTTCATCCTGCAAAAAAGGGCATAAACCCTTGTGAGAGTTGAACAATTACATACCAATTTCCACTCGGACACTACAAGTCTCATTTACTTTCTATTTTACAAAGAATCCTCTCCCATGAAGACTACGGCTTGCAGCCTTCCGAACAAACCGAATGGGCTTTATTACCATAGCATACCATATCATATATATCATGATTGTGTCGTATTACTATACTACAACACCTCTTAATGGATATGGCGTTTTATTTATTACTTACACTAATATTAACTCAAGTGACTAGCCATCTGCTTTGAAGAACCGACAATAGATGGGGAAGAAAGGTTCTAGAGTAGGAGTGGCAGCCTTGTACCGATAAGTGAAGTGTAGGGCGTACTCCACTAGATGGGATGACGACCTGGTAAGGCTTCAGGAAGTTTTTGAATTGAATCGAATAAACGGGCTGTTTTCGCAACTCCACGTCTAAGCGCGTATTTTGCGTGTGGGCAGGAATAATGTATTTATTCGAGCCATGAAATCTCCCCGAAGAAGTTCAACAGTCTTTTGAAGCTCCAAGCAACTTCGGAGAGTGATGCCGGCGTGCCGAGATGTTTAGCCCTGTATATAGCGACTTCCGGACACGTCAGCAACACGTGGGCCGCCGTTTCTTCCTCCCCCATACATGCCCTGCACAGGGGACTGTCCGTAACACCTATGGTAAATAAATGTTTGTTATTGTTACCATGTCCTGTGATAGCACTTGTTACTATCCTGATCTGCGGCTTGTTCAGTCTCATTAGAACCTTGGTTAACCGACTGTTTATTTCAGGCAGGGCCTCCCTAGCTTGTCTACAGTCTACTACATTTTTCCAAAGTTGAACGTGTTGATTAGTGTAGTGTCTACGTACCAGTGAACGAACATTACCAAAGGGGATTGCTATAATTGGTTCCGGCCCTATAGTGGCCAGAGCCGATCCTTTTCTGGCCAGTTCGTCTGTTGCATCGTTGCATCTGGATCCACTGTGTCCCTTTATCCTTTGCTGAGTCACATTGTTGTGTTTGCATACTTATTGCTTTTACAGGTAAATTGTCATCGAAAAACGGTTTTAAGTATACTTCAATTCAATGCATCTCTAGATGTTTTATTTATAGAACGGGTAGCAAGATTCCTTCTGGTAGTTGAGTTTTCTTCGTGTTAATCACACAGTGATTTCAAGCATCAACTAAATATTCTTTAATCAAGTTATTACATATAACTGCCAGTCGGTTGAACCATAGCAGTAATATATATTCAACCTATGGCTGGTAATGCCAAGCCCAGCTGTGCTTGGTTTTTTATTTTATAACATGTCACTCCTAGGGGTGCTTTCAATAATAAACAACCTTGATTTCTGCATTAAATTAATTGTTGTAAAGTAGCTAGAGGTAGGATCTTCTCCTAAGGATCTTATCTGTAGCCACTCCTTCTACCGGATATTTGGATTTGACTGGAAATTGGACCCCTAATGAGAATATGGGCCTTCACGCAGCTGTACATTGAAACATTTAGCTAATTCTAGTTCATTTGTGATCACTGAGTCACTTATGTTATCTGGGTACATTAAAAATAAAAACTACAATTACTGTAAGACAAAAAAAATTGTGAAAGAAGCATGGTGTGATAAAATACAAGGTAACGACAGAAAATAATAATCTATTAATTAAAATAATATCCTAAGGAATATAGAGCACTGAGAGCATATTGTTATAATATGCAAGGAAATGATATCATGTATGTTATTTTAACACACTTCACGGAAATAATCCAGATATTATGATTGCACCATATTAAAAAGTATACCCGAGGATCATATTGTGATAATATGCAAGATAACAACCTCATGGATCGCACTCAAGTAAATTTTTACACCATTCTTAAAAAACATTTGATTAATTATGATTGCATTTTATAAAGAAGTATATACTTACCTCATGTGCATATTGTGACAATATGCAAGGAAAAAATCTCTCAGATTGCACTTAGGCTTATTTTAACACAATTCGCAGCAAATAATCGATTATTTACAAAATCACTCAATGTAGAAGAATAGCACAAGAGTATGTTGTGATAATAAGAAAGGAACCTCTCGGGTTACATTCAAGCATATTTTAACACAATTTGGAGAATCCCTCAGGTCACGGAAATGCAATTCCTCTTTCCAAATAAGGTAGCAATGTCACTGAGTTGACTCAAACGTGGTTTGTCATTATGTGAATTTAAATTATTTCAAATATTATGCAAAAATAATACTGGAACGGTTACACGAAACGTCACAATGACAGCCATAAATTAGAGAGTAGAGTAGGAGGAACGTTGGATGCGTTCCGTTTTTGTTTATGTTTTTTTTTTAGTTCTGAAATTTTTGGCGACGGTGAAGCGTGATGTCGCACTACTACAGGTCATAATACTAATGTAATCCGTTGAACGATGCATTAAACACAATTGTGTCTCGTGTAGATAGTTAGGATCCGTAGAGACTGGCCACGGCGACCGAAATTCTGTCTAAAAGAAAGTAAAGTAAGGAGTAGAATAATTTGTCAGCATTTAGCAGTCTTTTCATCCGATTATAATGTGGGTATCTACAAAGCAAAAGGGTAGGCTTAAAGCTAAGTCAGTGCGCTTTATTATCTTCTTTTGCATCATTACTTGTCATCAGGTGGAATATTAGTTAAGTACTGGTTTATAATATTTAAAAAAAAACATTATCATTTATTGTTTTGGCGAATAAAGATAATTAATCTGATCTACCTATAATAACATTTGTAATATATCAAATCAATTTATATTGCTACAGTTTTAAACAAAACAAATGATAAATTTACATTATTATTCTTTAATTGAAAAAATATTACAGTTAGCTCATCTTTAGAGTCGTAGGTAGCCGAGACTGGATCATGTACCTTTTTGTCGTGTGTCAACTACGGGTCAAGTGGTAGTTGACTTGTATACCCTCGAAGTAAAGTCATATGCTTAGGTTAATTTGTTAGTATGTAAAATCCTTCCATGAATAATGAATAAAAATGTTTGCGTGCAGCAGTCGAGCGGGTAACGTGAACGGCAGCGGGGCGGGTGGCACGGCGACGAGCGCGGCGGTGAGCGCGGCGAGCGCGGCAGTGTCCAGCGCCAGCGCCAGCCTGAGCGCGCCGAGCCACCTGCAGATGGTGCTGCAGAGCAGCGCGCGCGCCGCCTACCCGCACTCGCCCGCGCCCGCGCCCGCCATCTACGCCAACACGCCGCCGCACCACTTGTACAACACGCAACCTACGTACGTTTCCATCGCTCCTTATCCACCACCACCACACCACCACCACACCACCACCACACCACCACCACCGTACCTCCTACCTGTAACTTTGTAAAACAACATCTTTGATTCATTGAGTATGCTACTACATGTTTGTGCACGAATTTTGCGTGTGGACACGAATTAAACATTATTCGAGCCACCCAAGCTCCTCGAGAAATCTTAGTAATTTCTTTACATTACCGATGATATCGAGAAGCGACCTCGACGATCTGAGGTACTTAGCTCTGTAGCTACACTCAAATGAAACGTGAGCGGCTGTTTCATCATCATGCAGCCTCTGCACAGGGGTCTGTCTGTAACACCTAAAGCAAAGAGATACTTAAATTAAACAAAATACTTAAGTTAAATAAAACGTTACCTATTATGGCTCCGTTGCTCAATCTGATTTGATGTTTGGATCTTTTGTTGTTACTTTCATAAAAAAATCTTTAATCTTTATGAATATTTAATCATTGACTTTTTCTTTATATGCTGTGAAATCCTTATAAAACATATACCCATAGACTTGGTAGTTGCTTACATAACATGGTTTGGTCTAATTTGGTTATTTATGAATAATAATTATTATAATAAACTATATATGATATAACTAATTGTTTCAAGTAACTCCATAATTTGTCCATAATATGTACTATCAAAACATTGTAGTAAAACTATAACCAAATTATATAAATAGGTATAAGACTACTTATGTAATTACAAATATTATACATTCCTATGGTTTTCCCCACTAGAAACCGATTTTATGATTCTTTTTTTATTTGAAAGTTGATACTTCCCATGTGATCCCACATAAATTTGATCAAGATCTGACCAGTAATTTTTGAGTTATCCTTAATAATGCGTATTTAATTGACTTCGACTACATTGATGATATTCTCATTTTATATTGAAGTCGGTTGTACAAGATTTTTAATTTTACCACTTGTTTATTAAATAAACCTGAAATATAAAACACCAAGTGTGTGTGTGTGTGTGTGTGTGTGTGTGTGTGTGTTTCTGTGTGAATTTGTGTTGGTCATTATATCAAGTTTTGTTGTCTCTATTGCATTTATATAAATTATTTTAGGAATGATAATTCTCGAAGTCAAGGCAGTTCAGGCGGTGGAGGTGACAGTGATGCACCCAGTGATTTGATGCTTTCGTACATTTTGGACGAGGTGATCGAAAATATGCCTTATGCAGAAAGACCTGCACCAGATGTCAATGTTCTCATGAATTTAGAGAATCGTCAGCTAAGATCAGATTTCGCGGTGAGTGAAAACTTGTATTTAATAAGATTTTAGTCAATGAAATTCAACTGCAAATGTAAATATGTTTAGCTAATTTTTGTTTAGGAAAATTTTTATACAAAACACTTTCATATAAAATTTTGAGATAAAAATGAAATGGGTACATTTTTCCTTTGTTCAAACTTTTTAAACTATTAAAATTTTACAGTTCTTAATAATACATATTGTAAAGTTTTATCACTTTCATGACAAATAAATAAATATCCTAGCATGTACTAAAACACGATTGAAAGGGCGCGCATCTTGATTCAAGATAAACATAATTATTCATGAAGAAGGTTTACGAATATTTTTGCAAATTAGCTAACGTAAACAAACATGCTATGGCAAATATCCTCCCTATGAAGCGATCTGAGGGGCAGGCCCATAAATATGTGTGGACTTTTGTTGGGCTATAATATGGTGATGATGTTGTCAATTATATAAAGGCGGCTCTTCACGTTGGCCAACATTCTGGCGAATGTGTTGGCCAACAACGATGGCCATCGTGTAGAGCGGGTGTTTAAGCTACGTTGGTACGTATTGGAACGATGGCTCACAAGTTGGCGCGAGATCCGTCTGGTGTCGGTTTTTTACAAAAGATTAAAGGGTTGTGGCAGAGTATTGGCCACCGCGTCCACACGTTGGGCGCACGTTCAGTTTGCTACGAGCTCCCAGAGTGACTGCACGTACCTGATTTAAATTTTATATGCACGCATCTCTACATAACGGTAGTAACAATGAGCAATGAAAAAACTTTTCGCTTTATAGAGCCCTATCAAGCCGAAAATTGTTTGTGAAACACAAGTCTTTTTAAAAAGAAACGAAAACACACTAGGATTTTCTCCTGTATCGTGGAGGCAGTTTAAAAACATAAATTGCATAAGGACAAACATCCAGACCCGGAGCAATTATGTGCAGGCTATACAAATACTTGTTCCGTGCGGGATTCGAACCCGCGGCCTTCAGCGCAGCAACTCATTGCTAAGCCACTACGCCACGTAGCCGCCAAGAAATAAAATTTCTTTTTTTCCATTTCTTTTTGATCATCCTTTACGTTGTAGTGATTGTTGTATTCATTTATTTATTGATGTATTAATTGATTTATTGATTTATTAATTCTAGGAGACTAGGTAAGATATTAAAATCAAATTAAAAGTTAGGATACTAAAATCATGTCTTTACTGTCTTTATTATTCCCTATTAGTTAGGTACTTTATTTCCTTAATAATACTGTAATTTTTAGCTACGGAAGAGCGAAGTCACCTGTTACAGGCATTATTTTGCTTACTAGGTGACCTCGATCACTGATCATATAATGTAACTTTAATGTTTGACGAAATAAATTATTTATTATTATTATTAAGTTCGCCATATGTGCTACTTTGTGCATGAAAGTGTAAATAAATAAATATATTCTATAATTATATAATAACCCTTTTTAAAAAGAGTTTGTTTAATAAAAAATTTACAACAGTTTCATAGACAGGCTTCGAATATTTTCCAGGCCTTAGTTAATTATACCTATGCCTAGGTGTGTTAATGCTTATATAGTTTACTTATCTGTATAACGTTAGTGTATAATAAAGAAATATTAAAAATTTATATTAAAAATATTAAATATTAAAAATTGTGAAAATTAAATACAAAATAGTGGTATGCTGTGAATAAATAAACCGCAACAGCTGTTAGCGCTTCAATAATCATTTTAATAAATTCGTCCGTACATTGGCATGAATCGAAGCAAACTGAACGACCTTCCAACGTGTGGACGCGATCACAAATTCTTGGTCAATATCTCTGCCAACACATTCGCCACTATGTTGGCCAACGTGAAGAGCCGCCATATCATGCATTGCAAAAACTTACATAAAGTTATGTTTTGGTTGATATTATTATAATGTTTAGTATTAGGCTATTCATATATTATTACGTTATTTACGAGTCTCGAGGGTAGGTCACCACAGAGTATCGAACATATATTTGAATGGTGACACTTCGATAGAAGAATTGTACGCGTGCGCAACTTTTCTCGCGATACTCTTCATGTCGGTTACCCGTGAGTTGCATCTCCTACGAATCTTTTTAAAATGGCTACGGAGAAACTACGTAATACAAGAAGTTGAAAATTATGTATGTTTAAATATTCCTTTATTTTTGGATGATAGCAAGAGTCAACAATTAAACGAGATGTATATAAGATTTTTTTGACATTTGGATAAAACGATATTTCTATCAATGACTGGATGAATATAGTATTTTCTTTTTTTCCGCTGACGTCTTCTAATTCAATAAAAGAGAAAAAAACAGCAATAGTTGTTTCATCACTAGACTTACTAGACATGTTAATAGGATTAAAAATATCTTTCATTCAGCTGCTTGTCTTAGGAAATTGCATATCAATGAATTTAATTTTTGTGATGTAGCGTAACGCATGAACCTCGAATAACTAACAAGTATTATACTGGTATCCGATCAAAGTTGCTAGTATCGTAATTTATGAAGGGCCTAATTGTATGTTTTAATAAAATAAAAGCTATAACTGTTATAATATATAGGAACATTATTTATTATTGTGTTTATAGGGTATGAAAGAAAAGAATGCGGTGATAAATGCTATTACACAAAGCCTCATGCAATGTGAAACCGCGTCAAAAAATCCAGTCTCCTCAAGTCCCGGTGCTCCTCCAGTGTATCCTGTACAAAGTCCGGTATGACAAATATTTTAATTGCTTAACATTTTTAATTTGCTTTATAATAGCGGGATTGATGTAAAGACTTCACCAATGTACGATAGAGAATTTTACTTTCAGGATCATAAAATTCTACATCGTAGATGCTTCAGCTTCATAATAATTTTCAAAGGTTTTGATACCTTGTTCCAGAAAGACAATAATACACAGCTTATGAAAGTTATAAAATATAACAGAACAAATTTTTATATTATTTCAACAGGGATCATGTAACATGGGAAGTGGGAGCAGTTCAATGTATGGCATGGCACCACGTGGCGAGGACTCGCGTTCACTAGTAGAGCAACACCGCGCTCGTCTCCTACAATTACAGCGTTCCCAACAGATGCTTGTCTCTCCTGAGGTAACTGTATAATTTTATTTAAATACTACCTACATTAAATTTATAATCAGACATCTGGAAAACCCGAAGACATTTGGCTGTACAATACAATGCAGGTTATTAAGGCCAACAAATATCGGAGATCATCCTAAATGATAGCAACGTCGACATCTGTGAGCTTTACGTCATCGTGGTGAGCCACTTGGGCATGTCATTGTAGAGTGTACACGTGAATTCAGTTTTGTCTTCAATTATCCTTTGTTAGATGAATTGAGAGCGAGCTAGAGGGTTGATCTACTAATTTAGAATTTTAAGCAACATCTGGATTCTCTTCTGTGTGGATTTTATTATTGAGCTTGTTGAGCAAAACGTCAAGCTGACTTCTGTCTTTTGCTTCTTTCCTTGTTTTTAGCTTATGTCTCATTCGCTACAATGTATAAATAAAAAATAAATTATACTCTAGCCAAATTTGTATAGTATCTCATTTAAAGTATCATTCTTTGACATTTTATTAATATTAACGAGAAGGATTGTAGCTCTAGGTTGTTTTGTTAGGGATTTTATGTGTTGAATAATCAAGTGTATTCAAATAATTATGATTTATAATAATGAAAATACGGTAATATTTTTAATTTGACATTTATTCCATTGGATGGTTATTGATACACAGGCCGCAGAGCAGCCTCAGGCTGATTTGGGTTCCACAATAAATGCACTCGTATCTGCCACGCCTCCAAACGTCGCTCTTACGCGGACTGATTTTCATCATTTATATCATCAGACCAGTGAGTATGATTTCATTGACTTTATAATACATAGTGTAAAATAGCTCACAGCTCACAGCTCACATTGATAGTAGATGGTTATTTTGGCCAATAATCCTACCATAGACTTGTAAATAAAAATCAGGTGGTATGCAGGTGGTACTTTCACAGATATTCAACAATATGAGAAATTTATGAGTCCCGTGGCTGGGCATATACCCAGTCACGGGACTCATAAATCATGTATCTTTACTTTTTTACTTACTTAGATGTTCAAAAAAATAAAATTGTCTATAAATGAATATATGGTCGATAATTATTTCATTAAAACTGAAATTAACTACTATATAAAAATCAATCTACATTTAATGACAAGTACCCATTGGTATAATCCGGCCGCGGTTAGCTAGTAGTTGTTCATTAACATACATAAAAAATTATGGTAATATGAAACATTAGTGTCAATGCCGACGAGATGTTATTTTAAGCCGACTTCAAAAAATTCATAATACCATCACATTATGATGTTGAGATTGTGATATTCCTACGTCGTACGTAAAAAAAATTAAATAATTTTCGTATATTCTGATTTCGGGGCTTTAGTTCTTCTATACACTATTATTTTATCGACTTCCACTGACTTCGGAACGTGAAATTATCTTATTTGTTTTAGTTTTTTAAAGTTGGCGTTATCGTTGGCGACCAATCCATTTGTATTTGTTATTAAAATTCAAAAAAAAATTGTTAACCACATTTATAAGATATTCGTTTATTTTCGTTACAGATCAAATGGGTTCAAATTACGGTACAAATAAAATCACAACTTCTCAACAGAACCCAATGCTCAGTCGACAGCTGTGTGTAAGTTTAATTTTTCATCAGTAGTTATTATTAGTAGTTAGTACACAATTCTAGTTTAGTCAGCAGTAGTCTAGTTGGTGCACTATATTTACAGTTCGCAAAAAAGTTAAGTGCATCTCTTATTAATAAATATGAAGTTACAATGCGATTCAAATAAGAATAAGAATGTCAATGACCTCCAATGACCGCGATCTGTTAATTTTCACTTGAAAAGTAAGATTTGCAAAGAAAATTAAATTTTCCACCTTTATATTTATTTAACTGAGTCTTCGTATATCATTGGTCATATTTAGTTTTAAAAATAACTTTAAACTGCTTTTTTTCATTTTCATTGTGGGCAACATTTCGTCAAAAAGCAAAGAGGAAGCCATCTTGTTACATCGGTCAGTGCTTGGTCGTACGATTGAGTGCATGTGCGTGTGGTGCTTGTGGAGTGCTACTGTTTCTTTTGATCATTCTGTTTGTTACGCGGTTGTTTTCTGTTATATTTGTTGTGATCCGTTTTTGTGGTGAATGATGATAATGATGACGATGATGACTACTCAGGCGGTGATGCAGAGATGAGCGGAATTTAAGTGCTAGATTCCGATTAAAACTTTTGTTCTTTTGTATTTATTTGTAAATAAATATTATTATAAAAATATCTGTTTTGCTCACTGCCTCATAATTTGCCACGTGGAATCCGTCAAGAGGAGGATTTGTAGAAAATGCAACTACTACCAAGGGATGACTGGACTAAGTGATGGAGAAAACAACATTAGTCATTTTATACTTGATTTTCTAATGCATTCAAAATTAATGCATTAGAAAATCAAGTATAAAATTGTAAACAACGATGATGATGGTGACAGCTCCACTAGTTGTAGTGAAAGTGATTAACCGGTTCAGTGCGGATGGCACGCGCCATCGATTACTTTGGCGTGTGGCGTATGACACACGAGTCGTGTCTTTTTAAAAATTGTTATAACGCGCTGAAATTGCGTTTTTCGAAAATTTATCCAGAACTAAATATTCATTATTTTGCAAGTAGTTCATGCATGCGGCTTCGTTTCTGGATATTTTGAAAATTTAAAATTTTTAGGGGTGCACAAACTTTTTTAACTTGTACATGGTACTCTTTTTACTTTGTGGGTTTTCAATCATGTTGTGGAAAAATAGTCTAATAAGTAACAAATAATAGCACTCATTGCGATCGCTCACAAACTCTAGTTGTAAATAAATTCCTGGAAAACAAGTGTCCTGTTAAAAAAAACAATGCGTTTGTTTTATTGTTTTATTTTGCTTAAAATGGTTGAACTGCCGTCGTATTACTATCATATGGCCGAATAGACCTACGAAGTACCATGTGATATGGTATAAGGTTTATTTTTGCTTGAAACAGTTTGAAACCGTACATGCATAAAAAAGTTCGAAAAAGCATAAAAAAGAACATCACATTTACACATGGCTGATGGCACAATAGGCGTGTGGCGCTTGACACGCCAGGCGTGTCATTAAATATTTGTGTGTATATATATATATATATATATATATATATATATATATATATATATATATATATATATAAATAATTTCTAGAAATTAGCAGTGAGCAATAAATATGAAGAAACTGATAAATTTGCTGTTTTGAGTTATCTGTTTTTAATTTATTCTGGTATTAATCTAGATAAAACTGTAAATGATTACAAACTTTAAAGAATCGATATCGATTTTTCTTAAGAATCGAATATTGTAGGTACCGATTTTTCAGTTGGAATGCCTAGTACAATATGTGTCACAGCTGTTAAAAGTTATTTCTTAGATTTGGTATAGTATATAATTACATGATTTTTTTTCGTTTTGTTTTTTCCATAAAAAACGATAATTTCATATGTACAACCTAATATTAGAGCAATTTACATTGAAGAAAATATACTGCTAGTGTCCCCTAATATAGAATTACACAATTATTCCGAGAACTTCAAATACTAGTCCCCGTTCATTCTTCATTCGTTGATGACGATGTTCTTGAATTCACTAAATTATGGTGGTGCTAATTGTTAACAAAAGTAACATGTATACATATATTAAATATTACAAAAGATCGATATCGATTTCTCGAAAGAATCGAATATTGTAGGTATACGATTATTCGGTTGGAATGCCTAGTCCAATAAATGTGACAGCTGTCAAAAGGTATTTCTTAGATTTGGTGGTGTATAATAATAAATCACAAATTTCTACATAAAAAATATAAACAATGTCTCGGATTGGGGGCGACTAAATCTAGTCCAGTTTAATCCTCAGAAGACACAAGTTTGCGCGTTTATCGCTAAAAAGAACACCTTTGTCGTATCTCCTCAGTTTCAAGGCACTCCCCTTCTTGTCTCAGCCAGTATCGGAATCCTCGGAGTCGACATATCGAGTGACGTGCAGTTTCGTGGTCACTTGGAAGAGTAGCCCAAATTGGCCTCTGAAAAGCTTGGTGTGCTCAGCAGAGCGGGACAGTATTTCATGCCGGTACACCGCCTGCAACTTTACAAGGCGCAAGTTCGCCCTCACATGGAATACTGTTCCCATCTCTGGGCAGGGGCTCCCCAGTGCCAGCTCCTTCCACTTGACCGCATCCAGCGCAGAGCGGCTCGAATCGTCGATGACCGAGTCCTTTCCGATCGGCTCGATTCATTGGCACTGAAAGAGATGTTGCATTCCTTTGCATTTTCTTTCGCATTTACCACGGGGAGTGCTCTGAGGAATTGTTCGGATTAATCCCAGCCGCCAAATTTCACGAACGCACATCGCGGCAAAACTCCCGATACCGTCCACACCATCTGGATGATTGGCGGTCCACCACTGTGCGATTTAGAAAGTGTTTTCTTCCTCGTACAACTTCCTTGTGGAATCGATTTCCATCAGGGATTTTTCCGGACCGATACGACTTAGGGACCTTCAAGAAAAGAGCCTACTCCTTTTTAAAAGGCCGGCAACGCATCTGCAATTCCCCAGATTCCCCTGGTGTTGCAGTTGTTCATGGTCGGCGGTAGTCACTTACCATCAGGTGAGCCGCATGCTCGTTTGCTTAATTTTATTTTATAAAAAAAAATTTATAGGAGAGGGGCTCCTATAATTTTTTTTTTATAAAATATAATTAATTCAACAATAACTTTGTTTGCAACTGAACGCGAGCTCATGTGACACATGTAGAGTGAACAAGAAGGAAAGCGATTATGGATGGCTCCGAAACGAGTGAAGGAAGCAACACCTCTCACAACTCGCCCGCACCTCACCCTACTCCTTAAAATGCCTTTGAACACAGCGATGTGGACGTACTTTGGAGATGCAATTAAGTTTTGCGCCGGTTATATACGCCAATATGTCCTGTATGAGTACATCCAGCGTGTGATTAATAAGGTTAATAACGAGTAAGGGAAGTAATTGTTTGAAACTGTAATTTGAATTTTACGAGTGCATCCGCGGCATTGAATTTTTTAACTTATAAACAAATTCATTTTAAAACAACAATATGAAGTGTGCTATTCTAACCCTCTCATTAATATAGCTTATTATTTTCTCTTTTATTAGTCATATTGTAAGGGGCTTACTAAAAATCAGTTGTATATATATTTTCTATCTAAGTAGTTTAAAATATATAATATAATATTTTATGCTAGACACATAGAATACTTAGTACTTGCTTTTTTTTATTTATTCCTATTTGTAACTTATAATTTGGAAAAGTCAACCCCGGTATAATTTCAAGTATCCAGTGTTAAAATTGCTAATATTAGATTTTCAAAATTTAAGAAAGAGCAAATAATGATTGGGAATCTAAAAAAATAGTTATGAGCTCTGATTTCGCCATTCGATTTTTGTCGTAAACCACTCCTTTTTTCTGTGGTAAATGCCTTTCTAGAATTCGTACCAGCCAAATCTTTAAGTTCCTTGGCCTTATAGAGGTCAACTTTGTGCACAATGGAAAAAGCTGAACATTAAAGAGTTCAACATTTTGGGAGGTCGAGAGGAAACAGCATTTAAGGCTTAAGCTGCGTATCGGTTATGCGCTCCAAGAGGTCAAACATTGGCGCGCGTTCCAGCCGTTTGAAATGGGTACCGCTTTGGAATGCGCGCCAACTTGTTCGTTGGGACGCTCAAACGTGGAGCGGGCCGTTCCATCTGGTGTCGGTTTTTAACGCGTATCAAAGTAAGTTTTGGCGCACGCGCCCACTGTTGGACGGTTTTCATCATTCGTGTGTTCGTTACGTTCCGAGCTACAGATAACCAGAGTTGCCGTAAATTGATAAAATTATATGGTTCCAAATAATTGCTATGGAGTAGCATAAGTCGTTTTTATCATAATAGTGCGCTCAGAGAAGATGCATAAAACTATGAATGTGGCAGCTGATCGTACACGAACGAGTCATCCATGTTGATCGCTCAAACACTGGAACAGCTGGCGCGCGCGCGCCTGGCGCGCTTAGTTGATGTATTTGGAACATTTTGAACGCGTTCCGCGGAAAGCACTGGCTGGCGCGGTCATTGATGGCGCGTAATGGATACGCGGGTTCAGTGTTGGGGTTATGTTGCAGAATGCTGGCGCCGGGTCGGGCGGGGGCGCGGGCGGGTACGCGCACTCTGCGGCGGCGGCGCTGCACACGCCGCACACGCCGGTGGCGCACCAGCCCTACCTGCGCGCGCCGCGCCCGCACCTCGGTGAGTGCCGCACCCTGTGCCCTGCGACAGTTCCTCCTCTAACTGTAACAAAATATTATTACACATTTCGAACATGACCGTTGTTTGTCTTTATCTATTGTTAACAGGTTTTCCCTTGATTTTATTTAATTTATATATTCGCGTTAAACTTATATGTTTTAGTAGGTATAATCTATCTATTAGTAAATTTGAAAATTTTCTTGAGGAACCATTTAACCTTTATCCAATAACTCACTTGAAAGTTCAAATTTTATATATTTGTATTGTTCGCTTCTGCATTAAAATAACTAATTTGTGAAGGTAGATCTGATACTTGACCAATTAATTATATTTAAAGTGGAAGCATGGTCTGCTATAAACCGGTTTCGATTCTTCAGCATGCCTATTATAGTAGAATATTAGATAGAATATTCATTTATCTTCTTTCCAATGATGCCCAATTTAATTTAAAAGTACTACTAATTGCATGATTATAGCTTTACCTTTAGTATTTTCAGTAAGTGACCGATATTAGTTAGAGGTTTGAATAGTTCGAATTTTATATAGACGCATGTGTAAATTCGGTATGCGTTATTCTCGTCGCCGACAGTGTAAGTTTCCCGGCTCATTTGCCCGTAGCTCGACGGCATGGAAGTTTGACGCGAGTTTCGTGTGAACGGTGCATACGTCCGACGTATTTCGTTTGCCAATTCCGGGCGAGTGAAGCGCAACGGTTTAGGTAGGTGTTCGCATAGGCTCGGCACGTGTTCGCGTACTTTGATAACGCGGCGTGTGTGGCAGTGGGCGGCTACTATGAGGAGAGCGAGGCGAGTGCCAGCGGCTACTGCGGGGAGTACGGGCGGCGGGCGCATGGCGCGCAGCAGCCGCACCCCCCGCACGCGCCGCACCCCCCGCACCCGGCTCACGCGCCTCACGCGCCGCACGCGCCGCACCCGCCGCACCCGCCGCACCCGCCGCACCCGGCGGCGCACGACCAACCGATGCCTTGTAAGTACGCCCCACCAACACCGAAGCCTAGCAGTACTACTAACTGCTCGTATCTCTTTTGTCACTGACCACTACATTTTATTTTTAGCAAAATGCTAACTTTTTAAATCTTTACATTTATAGTAACGAAGTCAAAATTGAGAATGATAAAATATGATAATAAATCTGACCACAAATACAACGCGACTAATTAGTGTGTGATAAATATTAGAACGTGACCCTTACTGTATATATAACGTGAACGTATATTCATATTCAAAATTGACAACAGGAAGAATTAGTATATAGTTAAATAGTAACCAATAAAAGTTTAAAATAATGATTTTGTTCTTGAAAGAAAGTCATGTAAGGTTAAATTTGAAACAGGATTTGACGTACCTATAAATGATCCAATTATTCTATAGTTATAAATTCCTTTATACAGTTTCTGTCGAAAATGATAACAACCTCAATAGAAGTATTCTATGAACACACATAGTTTTATTTTAATAGTAACTTAATGTTACCCTCTTTGTTAATTGTTTTTACTAAGCTATATCTTGGAAGTTATCGAGACAAATGCCGCTACTATATAGCTTATTCGCTGTTACAGTTGACCAACTCCTTGTATATTATTTTTCTATGTATGTCATGCGCAGATTTTTTAAAACGAAAGCACAATGGCAAAAGAAGTCATATTGTTAAATCTTGTGAAGTTTGCTTGATAAAAAATTGTGGTTAACAAAGTTACTCATATCGAATGTAATAAGGTAAGACGTTAAAATATTAATATGTATGTGGTCTTTTATGGTTTGTAAAGTAGATGTATTTTTTACTTCTTAATTGATTTTGTTACTATTGCTATGCATGATTATTAACTATAACGCTTAAATCAACCATCTAATGCCTAAACAAATTTGTTTATTGATAAGTTTATTAAATAGGTTGTATTATTATGCTTGGACTTGATTTAATATGTTTGAAGTATTACAATAATTAATAAAAGCTTATTTATAAAGGTTTGCAGTATTCATTATTTTATCGGAGTGTTTTTTGCAGTAATCTAAATCTAATCTATACTGTATTATTTGTAGTTGATAACACAATACAATTACATTGGACAACAATTGTTCACACTTCCAAACTGATTTTGTAATTTGCAACTAGAAAAGGTAATTCTACTAGGTTAATTATTGTCACTCAAGAGATAAATAAGAAAATCAATATAAATGACTGTCAAGTAAAATAAATAATATGTGACTACCAGATAACGAAGTTATTTTAAGCATTTGTAAAGATAATGTTGGAAACTTTTATTTATCTTAGTCTGAGACTGGTGGAAAGAGATAGTAGCATTAATTCATGCGTCTTATAAAAATATATACTAAATAATATATCATCAGCATAATTAAAATTAATAATGTATGAAAATAAAGTTTTTATTAACAGTAAAATATGTATATGTCTAACAGTTTCCGTACTAGGCAAGTCCTATATCGAGAAAACCTGACACCGAAGTTTAGTTATTATATTTTATCAGATAGATGCTATTAACATGTTGTGTTATTGCTTAGATTTTATACATACAAGGAAACTGCCTGCAACTGGAATAGGCAGAGACGACGGATTTCCATTAGGGACAATCCTCATACACTATTTCACGAACGAAACATGCAAACGCAACTAGTTTACTTGCTATGAAATATCTATTTATCACATTAATTGGTTATATGATATGGTTACTCGTAGATTGATAAATGAACATCTTTGTTATATCTCCCCGATTTAAGGGCCTTACTCCCCTTGCTGCCTCAGATAGCATCGGTCGAATCGTGTACAGATTCTAAGGCATTTGGAAGGGAAGGCTGGATTGGCCTTTAAAGATTTTACTTGCTCAGTAGAACGGGACAGTATTTCATGCCGGCACAACTCTTACAAATTTAAAAGGCGCAGGTTCGACCGCACCTGGAATACTGTTCTCATCTCTGGGCCGTGGCATCCAGCAAAGAGTGGCCCGAATCGTTGACGACCGAGTTCTTTCTGATCAGTGCGATTCACTGGCGCTGCGAAGTCGTTGTTTGCAGATGTTGCATATCTGCGTTTTCTATTGCATTTACCGCAGAGTTTGCTCAGAGGAATTGTTGGGATTAATTCCAGACACTAAATTTTACCTTCGCACATCGCGACAAAACTTGTGATATCATCCACAGCATATGGATGCTTGGTAACAACTATTGTGCAACTTGTTTGGCTACATCAGAGGACTACAACTGTCAAGTGAATGTTAGTAATTTTGGTCTTGCAACAAAATTAAGGTGACATCATTTCCTGCATGTTACATGTGTCCCTGTGTGTTACATGCGACCCTGCGTGTTATCATTTCCAGTGCGTTATGGTTATTGTATAAATTTTTGGAGCCCCACCCGTTTATAATTGATTTGGCTTTATGGTTTGGAAGTAAAAGGTACGGAGATGACGCTATTTTATTGGATTGCAATTAAGAAGAGACAAAAATACTTTTTATCTGGTGTTGTACTGGAATTGAAGTATTTGAGCACGATACAATATTTATTAACTATTTACTAGTTCGTACGCATTTTTCTACCTAGAGGTCTGTCAGGGTAGGTGTACCATCCTTTTTCCTATTTCTGCCTATAAATAGAAGTGCATGCACTGTTGTGTTCCCGTCTGAAGCGTAGAGAGAGAGGAGAGAGAATTACAGGCTGTGAGGCATTTCAACTTAGTCCTCAGAAGCAGACGTGGTTATTATTATAATAACAGATAATGCATTATTTTTCCGCAATGTATAACTCATTATAACTATCTGGCTGTTGTTATCCTGTTATTTTGCTATTGTGCGAACAGACAGTATGCAATAAGCATAAGTAATAGGCGTGAGAGAGAAGGAAGCTACCAGATAATAAATTAACGATGCTTGCGATTTGCCAATCATACGATTATACGGACGAAGTATAGGGCGTCCCCCACTAGATGGAGTGACATTCTTTGGGGGAGGCCTATGTTCAGCACTGGACTTGTGAAGGGCTGTAATGATGATGATGATTATAATCCTTCAATGCACAGCATAAAGTCCACTTTTATTTTTATAATGTCTATTATCTAGCTGTTGCAAGTTGCATTTTTGAAACTACGATGTGCGTTAATCGAGAAGTTTAATTATTTTTTTCCCCAACAATTTATATGTAAATGAAAGAATAATTCATTTAAAGTATATTTAAATTATATTTTTTTATTAACAATTAAATTTTTTTAGTAATTATTAATAAAAAATTAGTTAATTTTAGAATGAAAAATAACGACTTGTGATTGGTTGTACATAATTATATCCGTTGAGGCTGTGAGCCAATCGCAATCATGCTATACTTTTGTATTTTCTATATTCTGATCACCATGTGTCATAACAAAACCTAAATAAACCTGTAATATGCAATGACAATTTTTTAATTTTGACAACGTAAGCATGAGAGTTTTATCATTTCGCCATGAGGTGGCGTTACTAAAGCGATATAATGACGTCACTGACGATTGAATTTTCATTTTAGAAAAACAATGTTTAATTGTTAAATTATATGAGAAAACAATCGTTAAAAAATATTTTTATTTTTCTAAACAACTTTTAGTAAACTTGAAAAATATTTAAAAAAAAACATACAACTTCTCTATTAGAAAAAATTACAATTTTAATATGTGACATTAACAGTTAATAAAAATCAATAATACAACAGGTGTAGAGAATGGCCGCTACGTTTTGGTTTAATATTATGACAACAAATCAACAATAGTAACATATTTGTTTTGGTGGTGTCTGTGCCACCTTTTGTGTTCGTGAAATTACCACGTAATTTCTCACAGTTGTGCATAAGTTATTCTTGGTTAAGAAACAAAACGCAGATGCGTCGTCACTCTGAGTTCCCTGATACCTATTTACCAGTTAAAGGGTCTCCGATTCTCGTCACGCACTATACGAAATATAGCAGCTATAATGGTTTATTAAAATAGAAATAAAAAAATGTTTTACACTAGCTTGTACCGGGCACGTTGCAGCCGCAGAAGTAATAATTGTGGAATGTCGTTTTAAATTTGAAAAATTATATTGTTTAATTTGGAATTCATCATTTCATTGACGTTGAATGATATATTATTACTTTCAAATAAATTTGTCGGTACGATACCCGCGCCACCAATTGTAACTTAACTGTACTATGCCTATTACCTTCACGCAAATGTAAGCAATAAGTTGACAAAGTTTAACCGCAGCCTGATGAACGGTGTGGCAGTGCATAAAATATGAACAAACAAACATTAATAAACATATGGAATTATTGCTCTATAACTATTAACTATTGTCAATGTTGGTGTTTCGAATCAAATTTTTAGTGAGAAAGTAACTGTACTAAAATACAAAAAGTCTTTTAGGACTTGCATATTAAATTTTTACGAATTACTTGACAAGAGAAGAACCAAATGCAATAGAATAACAGCGTCAAAAAGCAGTATAATACTGCTGTTAAGTGAATAGAACCCGAGACCCTTTTTGCTAGTCGTAGGGCATTTGGTCTTCTAGGGGTGATAACGCATCTGCATGATGATCCTTAAGTGAAAATATATAGGGAACAATAGGTAACATCATCCACTTACCATGAGATCGACTGTGTGTTTGTAATTGATAAAAAAATATTATCCGCAACATTTTAGGTACCTATTTTTTATTTCTTTTATGATAACGAAATATACACGAAACTTGAATGTATTTTGAGATTCACTGTGTATATTACAGTGATTGTTTTTGTTTCTGATAGGTAAATGTGTCAAGAAGAATCCAAAGATCCGAAAACAATTCTAACTAGATGCCAATATTTGTTTAAAACTGTAATATTATGTTACTGTAATTTAAATAAAGCTCAAGTTGAAAAATATTTCCCGCTGTTAAGTATTGAAGCCGAACAGCAAATCCGAAATATGTATAACCATATTATAAGTAGTTTTGATTCCCCGCCATTCCATGTCACAGGCCATATATAAAATTACTTTACTGAATATTATGAAGTATACTAACATATCAAAATGTTTATAAAACAATACTATTATATACTAACAGGTAACAGGTTTATTAATGTCAGTGTTGTATATTTATATAAATTTGTTTTCGGATGTAAGTGAACATACATATTTTTGAATTTATGAATGTCTTCAGAAAGCCTGTTATTTAATTATATTTTAGGTCCACGTCACGACACCCGTGTGACATAATATATAATTTTAAACCATGTAAAAAAATCAAAGAATATATATTTATGATAGATTGTGTAAAAAGTAAACGAGAAATATTGATTTCTATTTATAAAAATGCATTATAAATTTTATATTTCAATTTAAAGAATAATTTTTTTTTACCTGTGCCTCAAATCTGCAAAACGATGTCCGCCATATTAGATAGCGTCGTGACATCACTAGGTCAAAGAACTAGGTTATGTGCTGTGTACTAACTAGCTAATTTCGAAATTTTTCAAGTTATCTTTACGATTTTTGACTTTTATTCTGAATTTTATTGAAAGGCATCATGGAAGACGGATTTGTAAAAGCAAGTTTATTACTTCGCTTTTAGCACTAATGTTATAGATATTATATTATAAGCTTAGGTGAGAAAAACTTTTTGTTATATTTTTTGTATAAACCCTCAGACGAAATAAAAAGTCACTTTTTTATTTGGTCTGAGTACAAACCATGTCTTTATTTCCATATAATAGAAGAAAACAGGAATTAAGTAAAACACTGCACTGCACTTGCAAGGGCTATCAAAATACCCTCAGACGAGCGATTAACCTAATCTATTACAAAATTTGACTTGCAATGAGTACCTATCATGTCATGATGTTTTGTTTTGTTTAATCGATAGTTAAATATAAGTCATACTTACATCAAAATGATCTTCACAGAAGTATAGTTTAGATTTTGTAGACAATGCCTTCGGGTCTCTTTTCGCCAGTTTTAACCAAGTATTTCTCATATTTAAATCAGTTGGCACTTTAATCCATAACCTCCTCGGCGTTCTTATGCTCGTATTTTTGCAATCAGGCATAACACAACAATGATATAAATGATAACTCATTATTAAACATTCAAAAGTATCTTATTCCTTTGCAAAATTGTCAAAATTCTAGGACAGTGACGTCACGAGTTGAAAAGTATGGCGGCTAGCGTTTTCACGCGAAAATTTAAAACGATAGATTAAAAGTAATTTTTTGTCACTATTCGGTTTTAAAAAAAATATATAAAAATTATAGCGGTTCATTATCACTCTAGGATTCATTTAAAACACTTTGAAAATGGGTGTAATACCCTATTGATGGAGGGTGACATTTGAGAAGGAAAGTTGATTGATTGCACAGGTGGCGGCGGTTCTGGCGGTGCTGGTGGCGCTGGTGGCGGTGGTGGCGGTGGTGGCGCGGCGAGTGCGGCGGGCGGCACGTCGGAGTACGTGCGCAACGAGCTGCGCGCCGTGGTGGGCGCCCGCTCGGCGCGCCCCGACCTGCACGCGCCGCTGCACGCGCCCGACCTCGACCCGCTGCTCACCTTCGACATGCCCGCGCCCGGTTAGTGCACACCCCCACCCCTCCTCCCGTCCACACCCCTCGCAACCCTCGCAACCGCACTCGCGCTACACACTCCACATTCCACCTTCGCTTTGACTGCCGATCGATAACTGGATCAAAGCTAATATTTGTAAACGTTTTCATCGAAAATATTTCTTTACTGTTTACATTTTAAATCAAACGTATCCTACAATTTCTATGTAGCAATCTTAAATTACATTAATTATATTATGTTATTGAACGACAGTCAACCTAATCTTCTATACATTGTGGCTGAATAGCATAACTATGTAGAACGTTGTGGAAGCGATGCTGTACTAACATCTAACCTACGGGTCACATTATACTAACAAGAACAGGATCAAATGTGTTAAGTTGCCGTCGACATTTAATTTTATAACCAAATCAATTGCGAAATTGATGGATTAATATTCATCTGACTGACATTTTACTTCTCTCGAAGTATTTTTATTGATTTTAATTTTTATCTAATTTCTTTATTTTTTTCAATTTCAATGTTTATAACTTTTAAAATTCTAGACTATATGTTACTAATATATTCCTTACACGTAAATTTACAATTCATAGATCTCTTTATCACATGGGCTATTAATAAAATATTATTAGAGTTGAATAAACTCATATCTGTAAATTATGTTACTTATTGATTTTTGTGATCAACTTAGATTAACAATTCCGTGAATGATAAACATTTAATTTTAAAGCTTGTAAAATTGTAATGGATTAATATTGTTTACCAAAAGTAAATTTTAAAAGCTGAGTTGTAAAAAATAATATAGTCAGACGGGGAGTTGAGCGATCGTTGTCAGTGTCGCGAATGGTCACTGCCAATGTATTCGTGTGTACGTATGTAGGTGGCGGCAGTGTGGTGGGGGGCCGAGCGTCTACTGCGCCGGCAAACTCGTGGGAGTCGCAACAGAGCACACCGGTAAGCTTGGGACGCGGCCAGCGAGACCAAAACACCTAGTTACTACCACACTTTCTGTATCGGTTTTTATTATGTTTTGTAGATCTACATACATACCTATGATTATTGCGTATTAAGTCTGCTCTGCTGCGTGTGTTATCAAATCGATCATATTGATCCTTAGAAGCTGTTTCACGGAAATGTGCCAACACCTGCCGACTACCTTTGATTAATGAAAATATTTACTTTCATTTCACGGCCAATTGCAAATTTTTGATATATTATTTTTGTATTAAACGATCCCTAGTATCATTTAATAATTTTGACCGCAATTCTAAGTAGACTTGATCAAACTTTTTTAGCACCCCATCCTTAATCGGTTTTTATTGGTACATTTCTAGAGTACTTACAGAAGCTTTTGTGATGTGATTTCTAATAATACTTCCTACTTAAAGATTTTAAATATCTACGTACTACGCATTTTCAGATATTTCTTTAATTTTTGAAAACCCGGAATAATACATTTGCTTTTAGGATTTTGTATTTGTTGGAATTAGCTTTTTAAAAGAAAAGGGGTTATTCGCATGCGTTTATAGTATACTATGGTGAAGGTATTTAATATTAATAGTACTATAACTAAAACTTAATAAAAGTTTTGATTTCGCAATAGTTTGCTTATTGTTTTGCTTTGAAAATGTCATAGAATAAGAATTATTTTATTTATTGAGTGGCAGTTATTATAAAATTGAAATGATGCATGAATACTTACAAAGCTCTAAAAAGGGTTGTTTCTAAGCCTAAATGAATGCGAGGGACTATCAAACATATGAATATTTCAATAGAAGAATAGAAAGAGGGTACTTGTATATTAAGGAAAGGACATTGTTATCAAACAGGAGTAATCCCGTGAAAACTTGTTAGAATAGCTTTAGAAAATTCAGCTAAAAATGCATGTAACTGATCGCCCCTCGCAACTTATTAGGACCGTTAGTTACCCTTTAGATACTATTTCTAATTTTAAAGATCATAGAAATTCATCTAGACTTTAGCATAAAGTTGCTATAGTAAAGCTTAACTTTTTTTATATATATTATATAGATTATATATTATAATTATTATGAAATTTTTACATTTTAACACGACAAATAATTTACCTAGCCATTCCTAAATTATATGTACTAATATTTGTAATCAACAGTTGATGAAAAGGAAAAGGCATTCTGTCTATCAGCTCTATATAGATTAAACAAAAAAATCCTTTTGTCAATGTTTTGTATTTAATGCTTTGCAACAGAGATGACAAGATTTATTTTTTATGTATAATCTGTAATAAACGTTTTTTTATTTGGTTCTAAATACTAATTTTAGTAATAAAATCAAGGTTTTTGTGCAATAATAAAATGATAATTAGATGATATTTTGATTCTAATATATATCGTTTGTATTTCATTTTAGCCGACTAGGTACCTATTAAGTTTTTATTAATAAGAGCAACTTTGCATCGCAATTTTTATGCATAGATTATTACTGTGATTCTTATTTTTACGGCTCCGTGGCGCAGTGGCTTAGCAATGAGTTGCAACGCTGGGAGCCGCGGGTTCGAATCCCGCACGGAACAAGTACTTGTATGGCCTACAAATAATTGTTCCGGGTCTGGATGTTTGTCCTTGTGTAATTTGTGTTTGTAAACTGCCTCTACGATACAGGAGAAAATCGCTAATAATAGGCGTACCCGTCCTATTACGTGAGTTTTTTTTAAATATTTTTTTAACAATTAAACAATGTGTACTTTTCCTTTGTTTTTCCAATAGATTTAATTATTTTCACGAATTTACATCCCATTAGGAATTGTTAATTTGGCTAAGATTTGTTTGCATTATGTCGTGTTATATGCGTCAGAAAGGAAGATTCCTAAATATAGTGTAGAAGGGGGTACCTTCATATTTTATTAGTGACGTCGACATATGGGTTGAGAGTGAGTGAGTGACGTGTGTCGTTTGATGTCAGAATACTACGGAGGCGGGCTCGGCGGCGGGCGGTGATGAGGCGTCGAGCGCGGCGGGAGGGGGCGGGGGCGGGGGCGGGGGCGGCGGGGCGGGCGGCGCGGCCGCTAGGGCGTCGCTGCTGCAGAAGCTGCTGTCGCAGTGAGGCGCACCGGGCCCCAGCGCTCCCCGCACCACACCTACGACTCGTCGTTCTCGTCGTCTCGGCTACGCACCACGTGGTACCTCAGCGGCTGTTAACCTCACGCACGTGAGAATATTATAGTACACGTATTTATATAACGTCTCCATATTGATGTAATTATTTTAGACTAGTAGTGCTAGTGACCCATTCTATTTGTAAAGTTGTCGCTCGATCGACTTTTTCGTTCTTTGAGAACTCTGTTTATTGATCTTTTAGTAATCTGTGTATAGTTTAAGATTAAGATACGATAAGAAGTACGACGGTATCTTCCTGTAAGGGAGTAAAAATACGTGATTCGCAATATGATTGACATGTACGCCTATAGTGTACTGGCACAGTGTACAATAGAATCATACCGCGTGCAATATTGTATAGAAATAAACACATATTTTTTGGCGTTGTGAACGTTATGTATTATAAATATGAAAGTCAGATGTTACCTGTTATGACAAAGTAAGCTGTATTTGTAGTATGAGATGAATTACGCAGTCTTCTCTCGTTGTTACATCTGCCGAGAATTTTCCGAGTGTCTTGTGGCGTAATCCTTTCTGGATGAATATCTCTTTGTCACTTTAATTTCCTCTAGCGCTCGGTATGTAAAATTGGAGAAGATTATTATTATGTGTAAATAACGTGTTGTTAAGTTATAGCTGTTGCTTTACTGTAAATATTTTGTTATGTTATCGTCATTATTGTGTTTCTTATATGAATTAATTTTCTTGTAATTTTTAAAATTATGGATTATTAATTATAACTTACAAATATAATTTTATAATTTAATGATATCATTTCCTCACCCTGTTAGCTGTATATTTTATATATTGGTTAGTAGTCCGACACGTTAGCGTAAAGTTCACGTAAAGGCATCAAATGCAGTTTACGTAGCTTGAAAATGACATTAAGGCCTGAATATCACTTATCTGGAAGTTTTATCAGTGGCGCCACGTACTTTCCTATATACTTCATATTATTCATTAACCGTCCTTCTGGCGTTTCATTTGAATTACTGCAAATATTTCGTCTTTCCTCTTTAATTAACAACACGGATTATGAATATTTTGAAAAATCACCAAAAATGATGCTCTTTGCAATAATCGTACTTTATTTTTAATACGTTTATCTTGCGTTTTAATTGGTAATTATTAATATTTTTAATTTCCCTTTTTTAATTTTAATTATAATTTTAGTTTTATTTAAAACGTTAATGGCAGCTATTTCGCCATTGTGTATATTTCATGATATGAGTAGTTTACTTTTATTTTCGCGCCAAGTTGAAGGCTTACCAACACATTATGTACGCATGTAGGTACAAACGGTAAAGATAATGGACACTTCGGCAGACTTACAAATATGTATTTTTTATATTCTCATTAAAATAAAGAATTTGTACATAACAAAAATACAAAGAAATATTATCGATATAGTAACAGACTTTATTTAAAATCATAAAAATGCTGTGCTATAAGTATTGCTATAAAATAAAATGTATAATGCAAGATATAAATAACTATACTAATGATATACCACGCAACTTATGGAATGGTTTTAAACCAGCAGATTCAATTCTTAATTTGTGTAATTTTATAAATAATTGTCAATGCAATAGGCGCCTGGAGTGCTGTTGTCTATGCCTACTTTTATAATATTAAAAGAACAATGAGTTAGAGCTCAAATAAAAATGTTAAAATTTTTCAACAGTACAAAAATCATTATTCAAAAAGTAAATAAATTTAAGTATAAAAAACTAAATAAAAGCTTGTAAAAAGGAGAAAATTGTGAATGAAAAAAATTGCGAAATGTGATTTTTAAGGAACATAACTTTACACAGTTCATGTAAGAAAGCTATTACACTGTTTTTGTTGGATCTGGCTTTGATATATTTTCAATGTTTTTGGAAGTGCTTGGAAGAATAAGAATGAAGTTTATAAGGATATGTTGACATTTTAATATACCGTTTCTTAGATTACAGTCCTGTATATGTATACTAAATGTGGCATGTAGATAGCATTACCATTGTATGCCTAGAATTCTTAATTATATCTTCGTCATAATATGATTAAAACATGAAGTTAATTCGTTCAAAAATCCGTATCGGTTGACATAGAATTTAAGTGCATGATAATGTAATGTGTGAATGTTCCGTTTATTCATTGATCATCTTTTCATATTAAAAAACCGAAACGCTGTCTTTCAGTCCAGGCAGTAGATCACAATTTTGTTGAATCCGATTATTGATACAAATAAATCAAAATATCTTTTTGTATCATTTATACAATTTACACCATATAAATGATATTTTACACTACATTTGAATGCTCTCGGTGAATACCCATATTAATAAAGTTGTAAAATTTGTAATGTTATCAATATTTTGGAACCGTTAGATTTAAAGATTATAAATAATTATTCTAGGGATGTTGCGTTTGGGACCACAATTGAGAAATATTAAGAAGGATAGCGTTTTGAAATTTTTTTCTACTACATTTTGTATTTATTACACATTATTTTGCACTTTTACTGCAATTGATAATTCAATCAAAATTTGCTGCTCATAATATTTGTATTCTTAGTGCTTTATTTGTATACTTATTTTGTCGAAATTTAACCATTTTATCTTATATATTTTTTTAATTAGATCACAATAATGAAGTGGCATTTACTTAAGTGGATAAAAGGTACTTAACGGAATATGAAGGATTACGTACATTTTGGGAATTTTAAATCTAGCATTTCTCCTATTCTTTCACACTAATTTTATTACCAACACCAAACATAGAATGTAGTGAGTAGCTCTACACTGAAACAAAATGTGTGATTATATTACCTATTTAAAGATGAACGTACAAATATCCATAAATAGTAAGGAATATCCATAAAACCAAATTAAATAATGATGTTTTAGAATTATATAAATATTTTTATACCCTTCGAAATAGTTCTGATGTCTAGGCTACTGACCAATTTAATTTGTTGTTTTATAAAAAACATCGAGTAGTACTTGAAGTTTTAGCGTTAATAATAGTGAGATAAAGCTTTACAATAACCAACACTCGTAGCAATATAACAATTTCATTCCATTTAGTTTGTTATAGGGAGACATGCTTTTGAACGTGTTGTCCGATAGATAAAAGTCAAAACATAGTACAAGAGATGGCCTTAACTACCTACATGACGACAGTAAAACTCCTAGAAGTTGCGGAGTCTGCCTTCTTCATAACATATAAAATATCGGATAAAGAAAAGCCTTTATATCAATACGCTAGATGGAACAGCATAAAATGCCGTCACTTAGTTTTCGACGTCTCGGTGAGAAATGTTAAATGTTACACAAAGGCTATATTTTTTACAGTTTTATGATAATCTAGTTTACTTATAAAGATTCGTATAAAAACACGTCCATTGCATGAGTTTAAACATGGTTTCCCACATAATGTATATAAATTGAACATTAATGTAGATGGGTTGCCTGAATATTAAAAGAGAAGTATTTTTTCAAATCCACCTATGCCAGGATACTATAAATTTATTACGAAATTGAAATAGATTTTAGCAATTGTAGTAACTAAAGAAATAGTTTTAAATGTTTAATCGATGAGTTGAAATATAATTCCTTACCAAATTTGTAGCCATTTGTTTGTTAGCTAAATTATTCCACATCGATTTGTCCGATGTTTAAGAGTATGTTGATGGTTTACATCGGCATTTACATCGACAATTTTGATAAATCATCAATAAAATTGCTGTATTGCAGTAATACCGCAATTTTGAAAATTTAGTATTAGAAAGGTGCCTGTATCCGATTTTAAAAATTTGTTATGTTGTAAGTCTTCAACAAATTCTATGTTAATAGCTTTAAGTCTTCCAAAACATGAAAATTATAATTATTTAACAACAAATCAGTGCTTTTTTACATCTCTACCTAAGTAACAAATTTTACTGTCCACTTAATACCAAGTGGCTAAGCAAGATCATAGATATAGATTTGTCATTGAATTTACCGATAGAGCCTAAAATTAGGCAAAGAACATAAAAAACTATTTGGTCAATAAGGTCACCAACGAAAGAGTATTCCTAAGCTATTAAAAATACATATTTTGATAAATAAACCTTAAACTTGCTTCATATAAATAATTTTACGCAAAAGGGTTATCACAATAATAATGTGGCATAATTCTACTTCCATATATAAAACTAGATTTTCATCTTGGCGTATTGTATTATAACCTCATTGTAAAATTCAAATTCTAGTTTGTAGTTAAATTAATAATGATTGTTTTGAAAGTCTCGAATCAAGTGTAAAATCTTGAAAATTAAACATTTTCGCCAGGAAATCAAACATTGAAATTCAATTTTAACCACCATGAAATGAACACTTTAATTTGGCTGCTAATTATATATTGTAAGTACAGTTTTAAGATTTATAAACTTTCAAAATTTAAGTGGGTATGTCGAGTATATTATGAGTAAGCTTAATAGATTTTACATTAACTATAATACAATTCAAAAGATACTTGTTCTACAATATATTGAAATGTTATAATATGATTATCTGTTATTCGAAATTTTATGTAAGACAATTTTGTAATTTTAAGGCTTTTTGGTTCTCGCACAGAGTAAACCTGAAAAGAGTTAATCTATAGGGTCCAAAATTTTCATCCAACGGGACACGAGTTATAAATTGGATTATGTTATTAAAATGTGTTTTAAATTATTTTCGATCGATCTGGGTCACCATTTACGAATAAAGAACAATATTTCAATGTTAAGAATTACTCTGTGTGCAAGAGGACTAATTTTAGTTATCACTTAGCATAGGGTCGCGAAACATTGATGGGTACGGGAATCTTTGTTTCAAAGGGAAAACATAATTAGTGTTACTTAAGTTTAAACAAAATAATTTCAACTCGTATGATAGCTAATTATTGTAGTTTTAGACATTATCTGATAGGATTGGAAGATTC